TTTGATCTAATGATCTGATTTTTAGGTATCAAGACTCCATATTTGTGGTTCCAGGACCTAACCTTAAGTTAGGCAATAAGTGCGGAAGATATTTTAAGTTACGAAATCAGAGACACAAACTCTAAATAATGGTACTTGTTTGTCTAGTTTGTAATTGTGACCTTCGAACTATAAATGGAAGCCGCAACCTGGAAAGGATGGTCCCAATAGTCGATAGCGGTTGAAAGTTTCAACCTTTTAATGCTAATTTATTTATTTGTGAGTTTCGCCATATATCGAGAGCGTCTTAAGCGAATCGAAGAAGTTTTGCACGCAATTATAAAATCTGATAATTCTAAATGAAATATAAATTTTCATGATTAATTATAATTTTAATAATTTTATTTAATAATAGGAGGACACACAGTTTTGCATCATTTTAAATTATTTAATTTTAAATGATGAAATACAAAATTTTGATGAAGTCGGTCGAATATTTCGAATCCTGATTTCTCGAGAATCGTTCAGCCGATTATTTTAATTTTTTTGTTTTGTTATTTCAAATTATATAGTTTAAAATGATGTAAAAACTTGTGTTTCTTAAAAGTAAAACTTCTTCAGCTCATCGAGCTTTTTAAAGGTATTTGAATAAGCTAGTTTCATCAATGCATGTTATCTAATAAACGCTTTCCTTTCAAGCAAATCCTCATTTCTTTCCTCCGGTAAGAATCTTTTTCAAAGTTAATTCAGCTTTTCCAATATCCATAACGTTGATAATAAAGATTAAGTAAAAATTATAAAATATAAATGATACAAAATATAAGTAGTACAAAATATAAATGAGGAAGTATGTATGGTCCTCGGGATTTCATTTTTAAAAAGAATTCTTTCATAGATTAATGTGATCTATGTAAAATAATCTCATAATCGATTTAGTCGATTAATACATATTAATTTATAAATCAACAAATTTTTATTAAAACTTGTACTAAAATATATAAGAGGGTGATTTAATCTTTAAATAATATCCAATGTTAAAAATTTTCATTTAGTTATTTATTTTCTAGGATATGCATATAATTTTCGAGGGATTACCAGTGGATATAAATTGCATGATAATAATTACACAATCAATCTAATCAACCAATAGATATTATTTAATTAAACATTTACTGATTTTTACTCAAATTTGTTTTGAAAAAAGTATATGTGCGCTATTTGTAATCTGAATAATCTCAGAAATAAATTACAGATCATGTTCTTGAGGTTTAGAATTTGTTTATCTTTTATGAGAGTGTTTACAATTTTTTCATTTATTTATTTTCAGGGAATTTAGAAAATTTTAGAGTGATTATCAGTGAATATAAACTACATGATCTGTAGATAATAATAACACAATCAATTAAGTCAATCAATAAATATTATTTATATAGACATTTAATAATTTTTACTCCAATTTTTTTGAGAAAAAATATATGTGTGCGATTTATACTGTGAATAAAATTCAAAATGAAATACAAGTAATCTTCCTGTGGAGTTTAACCATCTTTTATGAAGGTGTATACAATTCTTTCTTTATTTATTTATTTACTTTCTAAGGAGTGTAGATAATTTTAGAGTGATTATCAGTGGATAAATTGCATAGTCTGTAGATAAAAACTAACACAATCAATATAGTCAATCAATACACATTATTTAATTAGACATTTATTACTTTTTAATCAAATTTGTTTTGCAAAAAAATACGTATATTAAATTCATACTTTGAAGAATCTTCGAAATAACTTTATTTATGGAAATATATAAATTAAATTTTAATATATAAATATATATTATGGTGATATAATTTTATTTAAACAGGTGATGCTCCCGTGATTTAGTGTTTTACCATCTTAATGAGAGTGCATGCAATTTCTATTTATTTATTTTACTTGAGAAAATATATAATTTTAAATCATTTATGAATGATTACTAATTACAGAATTTATGGATACAGTCATATAATCAATGTAGTTCATCCATCGATATTATTTAACTAGAGATTTAGCGAATTTTTATCACTACACGAATTTTTATAAAAATTATGAGAGCAACTTTATTTTCAGGAAAACCTAAGGTAAGAGCAAAAAAAATATATATATATAAATAAATGAAAAATAGCCACAATTTTGACGATGATTTTTAAATTTGATGTCATTTGAAAGAAAACTAAATTTTCCAATTTAAATTATTAAACACCGAGACATCGAATTTTTGAATTACTTCCGAAAGATTGTTTTTCAATTGCTTTTTTTAACTTAACTTATATTAAAAACAAACTTGTTTTTTATTAAAAGAAATATGTTTGAAATTTAACCCCATCTTAATTAAATCAAGGAATAAAATTCAATGGTTTTAGATAAATATAAGTTATTGAAAAATTCCATATTCGGGAAATGAAAAAATAAAAACGGAAAACTACGAGTGAAAAACATTGCTTGAAGTTATTTCCGGTTAAGAATCAATGTTTGACGCAACACAAGATGTTTACGAGACTAAGTGCATTTACTAAATCCAAATGTGGAGCAGAAAGGACATCACCTTAACTATTTCCTTTCCATAATAGTAAATTTAACAAGAATCTTAATGGTGAAATGTTGATTTTCGAATATTTGTCACCCAAAGAACCTCTTACCACGCACGAACAGTTAATGTTGACAGTGATGGATTTTGTTAGTCCACTAGTTTTGTTAGTTAGTTTTGTTAGTAACTTTATTTTCAGGAAAACCTAAAGCAAGTGTAAAAAAAATACATAGATAAATAAGTGAAAAATAGCCATATTTTTGACGACGATTTTTAAATTTGATGTCATTTGAAAGAAAACTAAATCTTCCAATTTAAATTATTAAACACCGAGACATTGAATTTTCAAATTACTTCCAAAAGATTGTTTTTCAATTGCTTTTTTAACCTAACTTATATTAAAAACAAACTTTTTTTTATTAAAAGAAATATGTTTGAAATTTAACCCCATCTTAGTTAAATCAAGGAATAAAATTCAATGGTTTTAAATAAATATAAGTTATTGAAAAATTCCATATTCGGGAAATGAAAAAATAAAAACGGAAAACTACGAGTGAAAAACATTGCTTGAAGTTATTTCCGGTTAAGAATCAATGTTTGACGCAACACAAGTTGTTTACGAGACTCCTCTAAGTGCATTTACTAAATCCAAATGTGGAGCAGAAAGGACATCTCCTTAACTAATTCCTTTCTATAATAGTAAATTTAACAGGATGGTGAAATGTTGATTTTCGAATATTTGTCACCCAAAGAACTAATAACTCTTACGACGCACGAGCAGTTAATGTTGACAGTGATGGATTTTGTTAGTCCACGGGACATTCGACGATATCCGACAATTTGATGCACAGGAGCTGAGGTTAAACTAAAGAAGATGAAAGCTCTGTAGCAGCAGTATCCCCTTTTGGCAAAGTGCCTTGTGACGATGGCTCGAAACTCCGGTTCAATCCTCCAGGTGCAGAGACGAAGTCTCTCCCCTCTTCTCGCTCTTAGGAACCCCAAAAATAGAACGAAAAAGAAGGTGGAAAAAGTGTGTATACCTCGGTTTCATCGTTAAGCATATCGTCGCACTTTTCAAAAACATTGACTTTTAGAGAGTGGCTTTTCCCCCTACACACACTATATCCATGTTTCTTGTGACCCTAGAGGTCGTTTATCCCTTTAATATTGATATTTTTATGATGAGTTAATGTTCGATTATGTGGTGATGAGTCTGAGAAGCATTTAGAACAACATTAGAATGTTTGAAGGGTGTTGTTGATACGGATGGCAAAAAAATTGGATAATTATGCCACGCACTGGTAAGGAAATGATTTTTACCGCTCTTAGAATACTGAAAATAATAGAAAAATAATATCGCTATGATTAATTTGGCGTTAATTTTTACTTTAAGAAAATCTAATGTGAAAATAAGTATTCAGTAGAAAATGCATTTCATTAATCTTATATCTAAACAAACTGTGCTTAATACATCGACTCCAATAATCAGTTTATTGCTTTAATTTCAGGAAAATTCATTTCAAAATGAAATATTTATTTTCGATTATTATTTTCTTTTAAATTTCAAACTCAACTAACTATAATAAACTTACTATAATAAACTTACTATAATAAACTTCCTCTGTAAATCTAAGCTTCCATTTTAATTTAATTACGTGCTTCAAACAATTAAATTTATTTAAGGAAAAAAAATTGTTCTCACTGATTAAATATGTATTAAATGAAACTACATTTTCATATGCTGATGTATTTCATAATTAAACTTATATATTTCAAGTTTTGACATTTTAGCTAAAGCTCAAGTCTTTAAATTTAAGAAAAATAAAAAAATATATAGAAGAAAATAATTTCATCAGCAAAAAAAAATATATTAATTGGATATGCATAAAAAATTACATTAAAATTTATTAAATTGCAGGTAAAATAAAAGTTTGATGCTCTAACTAAAGCAAATTATTTTATTGAAGTAATGTTAATTTAGAGCATAGAAACCGGTATTAGCCGACTAAATCTGTAACTAAAATTCCTCGTATCAGGTAACAGAACTATTTTATTTGAATTTGTAATTAATAATGAAGATAACAAAAAGATAAACATTGATAAATCATTCTTACGTTATAATCGAAGCATAGAAGTCTAAATGTTTGGATATTTTTGAAATTTTCTATTCACTTTTCATTAGGTTTTGAAATTGTTTATGAAAGTCAACTTAATGACTATAATGTGAATTTTTTTACATGGTAATAAACTCAGAAAAACAAGTAAATATTATTACAAACCCTTCAATCAATGCAAGAGTCAAAATTTATAATTAGTATATGATAATAAGCACTTTTTTAAAAATCATTCATTATATTTCTGCTTTAATTTTAATTCCAAATAAATATAAAACATAATCCAATTTTATATTCCAAATTAATATAAAATTTTATCAGATTTTTAATGTAAGGCCAAAAGAAATTGAAAAATTGGGGGAAAAAAATAAAAGGCGTGAAATAAAAAATCAAGATTTAAAGCAAAAGTTTAGTTATAATTTTGATCATGATGGAATCTGAAAATTACATAACGAGTGATAATCACAAAGAGTTAACTTTCACACCAGAATTAAAGAGAATAACAAAACTAAATGATTTTAAGGAAATTAAAATTGTTAAATCACCATCATGGCCATCTTCACCAGCTGTTTCAAGAAGTGATGTCAGGCAAGACATAACTTCACAGTTTTGGACACTCGGCAAGAAAGCTTTTGCTACCAAATCTGCTGGCGATGAAAATAGCGAATATTCTTTCCAACAAGAAATATCACGTCAACAAGCAATTAAAGAGATACATTCTATTCTGGCTGGTATGGATTTAGGAAAATATTATGTGAGAAAGCCAAGAAACACTAGGAACCATTCTTTAGATAGCATCCATCAACAACCCCTCCGACGCTGCCAATCTGTTCAGCCTCAAATGACATCAAGCTATAGTTCATTTGATGTATCTTTTCTTAGCAATATACCTTCCCCACCAAAAACTCAAACTATAATAGAGTTGTTAAATGAGACTTCGTTAGGTGAAAACGTAGTTTCACCTCAGGAGAAACAATACTCATTAGAGTTAACGCCAATTAAAAATTCGCGTAAATCAGTGAACCCCAAACTTAAGGAACTCACCGAAAAATTGAGATCTTCATCTGCACCGCCATCGCCACATAGAAAGCCGAAATACACTGTTCCTCAGTCAGCTCCTCCAACTAGTAACTTTTCATTTTGGACTGATTCTCTGTCCAATACGGAGAATACGTGGGGCATTATGAGTGATAAAGAAACGAAAAACAATTATTCTGAGGATGATTTTGAGAAAGACACTGAGACATGCACTAAATTGAAAAGTGTCCCGAAGTCATTGAAGAAAAAGACATCTTCTCTTAGTGGATGCGCCACTTTGCCTCGAACAAAGGGAATTGCTAACAAAGAAAACCATAATGAACCCAGAACTCTCGCAAGCCTTGATTTAAATATAAATTTTGATGTATTTAGAAACAATAGATCAAGTCTCGATGAAGATACCGGGCCATCAAAAGAATGTAAAGATAATTTCAAAGATTCTGATAAAAAAGAGCGACGAAAGGAGGAATGCAATCGAATTTCAAACGAAAACTTTCGTAAGTCATCTTACGAGGATAATTCAACAGGTCGCCGATCTCACTCCAGCAGTAGACGTAACAGCTTAAAAAATAACGTGGTTCATCATAGAGCTGATTTTGATCTTAATTTTGTTAAATACGGCTCATTAAATTCTCAAGACAAACGGGTCGAACGTAGAAAAAGTATAGGGAAGATTGATATACAGACAGACGACGAAGCAAAGCGGCGAACGATCTCTACTCAGGAATATACCAACGCAGAAGCTTCGGATAAATTACGATTAGAAATGTCTTCTGAAGTCAATGCAAATAACAGTTCTGAAGAAAACAAAAATTTTACCACTCAGTCTTACATTGTAGATGAAACAAAAAGTGTTCCTGTGTTACCAGCCACATCTTCGAACCCATTAGAAGAAGAAATCAGAACGATAGCGAAGTTGCTGAACGGGAAGGAAAGTCTTTTTCTTAAGTTGATTCAATCTTCAAGTTTGAAAGACGAAACTCAAACCGATGAAGTTACTACTGATAGGCCTTTCTCACCACCACTTTCGAATGAAAGGTACTGTTCAAGAGACATGACACCTCTTTTGAACAGGAAATCGGCAACACTTCCAAACACTGGAAGAAGTAGTCCGAACAGGTCTCGTTCCATGACTGTTTCGGGTACTGAATCAAGTAAAACCGAGATAGCAAGTCCACCCATGCAGCAAAAACGGTTTTACAAGAGGAGGCTTCGAGGACCGTACGGGGAAATGCTTGAACAAGAAATGAGCAAATCCGTAAACAAGCCTAGACCATCTTATGCCAAAGATTTAGATTTTCTGAAAGAACTTGCAAGTCAGGACTCGAGTTCCGAACCGCCGATTTCGAAATCTGAACCAACGAGATCGAGACCATTATTAAGATCTTCTAGTCATTCTTTGGATGAAACCCATACTGTTACTGTGGATGGCGTGCCTAAAAGGAAAACTAGCGCTAATTTACCTGTTATGAGTGATAGTGAAGGTGATAAAAATTTATGTGTTCCTGCAATACCTTTTACTGGTACTGTGTCAGAACCTACATTACACATACGGAGTCATAGTGATTCTGTTAAGACTTCTACATCATGGAATACGGATTTAATTCTAAACAAAGTTTTGAAGCAAAGCTCTCAACAGGTAAGTTCCTTTTCTTAACATTTTGTACTGTACACGTTACATGTATATATTAATCTGCTTGCATGCATTTGTTTCAAGTGTTTGTGTTTATAAAACAGATGAAAGTTTTTGCCGATAATATAACAATTCTAAGGTATGACACATTTACTTTTATAAAAGAGAGAAAAGCAGAAATAAGCATTTTCAAAATTATTGCAGATTTTGTTATGTTATAGCTAATTTCTTTACTGTTCCATTAATAAATATCACTCCAAAAAATTCCATAGAGTATTAGATACAAGGACAACTACATCCAATCCAGTATATCTCTGAAATAATATATACTTTTAGGAAGAAGAATGCATATTTTTATTTCTTAACTAATACAGAACTTATAGTAATGTTTGCTGGTCAAGGAAAATAATTATTTATTTTCTTAATCGTGATGTATTATGCTCATTTTATGTTATTGGTTCAGATTCTTTTTGACTTATGAAGTAGAATGAAGCTGATCTGAGCACTCAGATACTTATGAAAATATTCATTTCTTCATTTAGTGATTTATAGTCTTTTTCAGCCTAACAAAGAATCTTCTTTGATCATAAATTTAATGTTGCTTTCGGTAATTTTGCCGAAATCCGTGAAATTGCCATTACACAAATTATAATGCATTTTGGAAATTTGCATCAGCATGCATTTTTCCAAATTTACACTATATAGTTGTCAGATTGTTTTTAATTTTTATCAATATGTATGTTTGCGAACTAACGCTTATGATAAAAATAATAATAAAGCAAAATATATTTTGTGATTAACTGATATACTCACAAAACACTTAATTTTATCAGCAACTTCAATAACTTATCTTAATATAAATGAATTAGTAAAAATATCAAAAGCTACGTTAAATTTTTAATTACTAATCTTTGAATTAATACTTGGATTTAAATTAACATCTTAACTGGATTTAATTGTTAATCATTTTTATTTCATGCATAACTTAACTGACTGTACTTTTAAAAATGTACATTTGACTTACATGAAGAAAGATTAAACTTACATTCTCAGACATGCACGAAAAAAATGCTATTTAAGTGAAAATTCCTTAAACAGTCTATAAATGATAATTTTATTGACTTTTTAGGATTCTATGCTGATAAAATTAGTTGTGGTACGCGTAATTTTTTAATGTATCTTAAATTTTTCGTTAATTTTTCAATTTGCGATTTCTTTTACTTATTTATTATTATTATTATTTTTTGTACTTAAGAAGAATTTGACGATACAATGTATGCTACCTTTCAGAATAGAAATTTAAAACAAACAATTTGTCTACTTTCATGTTTTTTTAATTTTATTTTATTACAGTTTTAAACTAATAAAAAACCGGTTTTGATGATGCTAAAAGAATATTTTTGTAACATAAATTATACATAAACAAAAATATTTTTCCAAAATCTAAAAGCAGGAAAATTTATTATCCAAAATTACCTTTCAGAGGTTCTCATTGTAAAATTGTATCAACATAATTTTATCAAGATAATTAATAAATTATAATAAAAAATAATAAAAAAAGTATAACAAAAAATTCATAATTACAGAAAAATTAACATCTGAAAATTCTCATTGTAAAATTGTATCAACATAATTTTATCGAAAAAATTTATAAATTAAAATAAAAAAAATAAAAAAAGCATAACAAGAAAATTAATTAAAGAAAAATTAACATCCGAAAATTCGCACACCGCATAATGTAATGGATCATGTCCTTGTATTTCGCATAATTCAAAAAATAGCGCGGAATTGAAAAATACCTACCATCATTTTATTTGCGAAAATTTAATAAAAAGGATTTCGAACATATTTAGAATTTTCCCTCCCTGTCTCCACCCCTTCGACATCCGAGTTCGGTTGGGAGGAGAAGGGCCTCTTAACCTAAAGGTTTGTCATCCTTCCTCAAGATAAATATTAATTATTTATTCTGGCACAGGATAGCATGTTTGACTCGTATTTCCATTACACTTTTACATCACACAACTGTAATTATTACCTACATAGTTTGCTCTTCACTTAAAGCAATCGTCAAATTATGCAAACCCAGAAGGCATTGTTTGATTTCATAGTAACAATCTCTGCATCTCCCATTACCTAGTAAGAGATGCCAGTTGATTCCACGTAATGTTTGGTGATTGGTAGAGCACAGGCTTATTCATCAGATAACTCACATATTTATTATTAAATATGGACTGGGAAACGCCTTAATTTTTTGCCTATTAGTGCTTTTTGAAAATAAGGGAAAACATCAAAGTACTAGCAGTTATTTGATGTCAAATGAAGCGTAATATTTCTTTTTTCTCGCAAAACATCATACTTTTTTTACTGTTTTTAGATGCAAAGAAATTCATACTTATCCTATAACTAATTTCGTAAATTAACTCTTCCTAATTTGGTTGCTATTTTTAACCTTTTTTTTAATTATTTTTTATGTTCTTGTTAAGCCACAATTTTTATGTTAATAAAAAAGTTTAAAAGAAACTGTTTTTTTCAAATTGATGAATGGAAACGCTGACTGTTTAAACTTGTGGTCGAACTTGATTACCTCCAGATTAGCAAGACATCATCCAACGATGGCCTAAACTTATTTATAGTGTTTTATCCGCTTTTTAACAGCCATGGAAGGTATTTGACATAATTTTGAACCTTGTCAGATGACGCGGATAGCGTACTAATCTCCGCAAACTTCTACTACCCATCAATGGAGAAAACACTCTGCCACGAAAGATTTAAAGTGCATTTTCCTGGTAATTTATTTCCTGGTTAAGATTTAAAGTGCATGGTCATTTATTCCATGGCCAGGATTGAACTCATAACCAATAGCAAAGCTGATCATGCTTTTACTGACTGTGCCACTGGAACGAAAATAAAAAAAATATATTAAAAGCAGGGAAGACATTAAAATTTAAATTTGAAGAAAGCAAGAAAGAAATTTCATTAATGAACTATCAATATTGGTCATGAAAATAGATAAATTCATTTATATATATATATATTCTTAAGTTGATTCAATCTTCAAGTTTGAAAGACGAAACTCAAACCGATGAAGTTACTACTGATAGGCCTTTCTCACCACCACTTTCGAATGAAAGGTACTGTTCAAGAGACATGACACCTCTTTTGAACAGGAAATCGGCAACACTTCCAAACACTGGAAGAAGTAGTCCGAACAGGTCTCGTTCCATGACTGTTTCGGGTACTGAATCAAGTAAAACCGAGATAGCAAGTCCACCCATGCAGCAAAAACGGTTTTACAAGAGGAGGCTTCGAGGACCGTACGGGGAAATGCTTGAACAAGAAATGAGCAAATCCGTAAACAAGCCTAGACCATCTTATGCCAAAGATTTAGATTTTCTGAAAGAACTTGCAAGTCAGGACTCGAGTTCCGAACCGCCGATTTCGAAATCTGAACCAACGAGATCGAGACCATTATTAAGATCTTCTAGTCATTCTTTGGATGAAACCCATACTGTTACTGTGGATGGCGTGCCTAAAAGGAAAACTAGCGCTAATTTACCTGTTATGAGTGATAGTGAAGGTGATAAAAATTTATGTGTTCCTGCAATACCTTNCAACTGCTTCTTCTGCTTCTGGGCATATATATATATATATATATATATATATATTCTGCTTATCATCATCAGGGGCCACATGAATATATTATTAAATCAATCTAGTAACAATATTTTTTCAAAAATTGTAATATTCCTGCAATGAAACTGGCAGATGTTAAAAAATAGCATATAGATTTAGAACTTTATCTTTTAAGCAAATTTATTAACTTTATATATATAATATTTTTTAACTGGTATAAAAACTACTTAGAAAATTCCCTGAAACTTTTTAAGATACTCAACTCGGACATTTTTTATTAGCTGCCAAATACGATACACTACTAAATCATGAAAATAATATATAAAATTTTTTCGCGCATAAGCGTTATATGAGAACTACTTTAAATACTCATATCTTGCGCAGTTTTAAACGAATTTTTCTCAAATGTTAAAACAATAATTTTGAAATTAATTTAAAATTGCTCCAAAAATTTTGTTTAATTTTTTGAATAGTTTAACAGTTATAGCAAAAAAAAAAAAAAGATATGTAAAACGCTAACCAAAAAATAATGAGTTTTTTTTTATAAAAATGTCCATACCTCCATAAATATTTAAGCTAGGATTACGAAAAACCGAGCCGATTGCATAAAATAACCGAAATAACTGTCGCAAAATACAAATCTATTGCTACATTTTCTGACAGAGGGTGTTTAAAAACATTATTTTCCGTTTGTAATTTTTTGTCGGTCACTCAAACTTCGAAAAACTTTTAATTTTATTGATCTGTATGCGAAATCGAATGATCTAAACATGACTGAAGCTATAAGATAATTTTAAGAGTGTTTCTTAAGAAAGAGGCAAAATGCATTAGTATAGAATAGTTTCCATTATTTTGTCCACTCCCTGTAAATATTAATTTTAATATCTCCAGAATGTAGTTCTAGGCTCAAACAACAACAACAAAAATTATTAAAATAAATATCTAAGATTAAATATTTTATATAACCGATTTTGGCTTTTGAATAACACCAAGGAACAAATTTTTTTTTCTTTCTGTAACATGAGATTTTTTAACAGATCTTAAAAACTTTCGTATCGTTGATATGCAATGTTTTCTCACTCCAAGCTACAGTTTTATTAAATAACATTTTTGTTCCATTTTTTGTCAGAATATACAAGTTTGAAAACATTATAAATAACAGAGGATTATATCAATGTTGAGACAAACTTTTATATGAGTTAGGGCGCATGATCAGTATTAAAATTTCACAAAAACGTATGCTGGAAAATATCCTCATACACCGTTAGGGGCAATTCCCTATTATGAGCTGCTTCTTGGTTTGAGTCTAAACAGGCCATAATAGGGAATGCCCTTAGCCGATGGGTTCATTTAAAATCTTAAACTTGATGCTG